TACTATTATTTCATCTTTAGTCCCCAAATGGCAAACAACTTCAGTGTGAACGTTCTGGTGCACTTGATGCGCGAGACCAAGAGCGTATACTTGCAGTCACACAACTCATTCTGAGAAACGTTTGTGCTGTGATTCTGTGTCCGCGTAGCCCACTCACACAGCTGGACGTGAGGGCCAACTTGCAAGCTCATACCGAAGTCGTCTGTTCACGTCGTCGACACAGTGTACGTGAGGAAACGAAGTAATTTTTACCCTGGAATTCCTTCTGTAAGCAGACCCAAGTCACAAATCTGGGGAAGGCGGAGAATAAGAAGCTACACCGAAGCCCTCTCTTTGCGAGTAATCTGTGTTTAATTCCTTACTCCCCCATGCGTACGAGCTGTTTTCATATGGCAGGGATCCTCATGATTACCATCGTCTCATGTGTGAAAAGGGTATAGATGCTAGTGATGAAAAGTATTTTGGTGGCACAAAAACCAGTGTTTTGAATGTGACAGTGCACCAGAACATCTTCCCGTGGCATGCAATGTTCTAGATTCGCATCAAACAGAATGGTTTTGATGACGTCAAAGTGCGTATCGCACCAGGGCTTTGTCAAACCATTTCGGATTTCTGAAATCTAACTAGTGTCTGTCAAAGATGACAACCAGATGATAGGCAATTCTAACGAACAATCAGCATTTTTAAACAGTCTTCTGATCTGTGTAAACACCTTAATATTGCTGAGCTGCAACAACGATTTAAGGCTGATATCGGTTATTGAAGTGATTGGCAGACGTTTGCTTACCCACTTTCGGAAGAAAATGATTCAGTTTAACGCTTGAATATCCAGTGAATAAATGAACTCGCATCTCTGATATTTTGGAGCCAGTGGCATAAAGCGGGTGAAGTGTTGTGCCAATTCGCTGGAATTTGACTCCCAGCTGCTAGAGGTGAGTTGGTGGAACGGAAGACAGCAGTGGACGTAGAACCGCCCAAAAGTGCTGTGGGAAATGACAGATAAATTGTCAATGATGGCTGGAAAATCGACAGGAATATGGATGCCCTATTTGGCAAGATTGGAAGCAGCATTTGGAAGTAGACGGAGTTTAGGAGGTTTGAGACGATAAAAGATTGTCAGAGTCGTAAATCAAGAGTCACTGATGGCTTCGCTAAGCCTTTTGGTTTGAACAATATGGTCAGTAACGATTTGGGGCCTCTGTTTGGATAGCTGGCGGCAAAAAGGGATGTTACTGCTTAGACCACTTTGGATAATGGTAGCAAAAGCAGAATAGGCTCATTGTGGAGTACCTCGTCAGGCAATTGTTCCGGCCCATGTCTAACAATCATGTAAACGAATGTGTTCAACAACCGGTTGTCTTTGTATAGTGATTACATAACGTAACCTAAGTCATATCAGCGCACGCGCTTCTTGAATACTGATTCGTTTTCTCTCGTCTTCAATATTTGTTAGAGTAACCAGAAGTACGCCGCTCCAACAAAAGATCTCTCATCCCTTAAAGTAACGCTTTTGTAACAGTTCGACTGCGAGACGAACGATCTACCGTTGGTCACTACCATCACCCTCCAAATGGACGACTGTTTCGTGTGGGTCTAGCTGTCTTGATCAGCTGCCATAGATGTGGTTGCTGCATCCCGATCATTACGTATGTCACCCGACTACGCATCTCAGACTTGTGGGAAGCTTTTGGTACTCTTCTGAGTCACACAACTAGACAGTCAATACAGAGTTGACAACATACTTCGAATACCATAGATTGTCTACCTTTTGCTTGACCTCAATTCCCTCTTGTTTTTCCTCCTATCTACTTGCCAAAATGAGTGGCGAAATTATTACGGCTAAATGTGGTCCCAGAAATGCCTCAGGCAAAGCTTCACCACATCGTTCCCGGCAGCAACTAGGGCTAGAGGTAAGAGGTGTAAAACAGCCTCAAACGACCAGGGGTCGATCTCAATAGGATAGTCACGAATGTGGATACTTGAAAAAGGCTGAATCTCTGTTCCGCACAACACTCAGAACCTATCTCTCGTTCGGAAAAGGGCATATCTTTCTGGTACATGAAGCCTAAATCCTGGCCTGTTTGAAGTGTCTATCAAGGGGGGACGGCAGAGAAGGAAAAAATAGCCCCCGACTAAAGCCACCGGTCATAACGGCAATTGCCACATAAATGATTTCGCCGCAGCTAAAAGTAACGCCACTTTTGAGTCTAACATCCGTAATGAGTAGGCACAATGTTGATGTGATGAAGACGTGCCAGGTTAATATTACATTTCCACGGCTCATCATCCAGGCACGTCGTTTTGGTATATGTGCCCACAGCGCCTCATACGACCACTCCCGTCTACAGGCTACCCAAATGCGGATTCCGCGACAAGCTACTACCACAAGTAAGGATAAGAAAGACACGAGTTCTGGTGACGTTCCACGGATAATCACATCTGCGAGTAGTCTGAAAATGACCAAACGACAGCCAGGCATCAGGCCAACTGCATCGACCTGAAACTCTGGAGTTGCTCTGGTGACTATCCCTCCTGCACACTGCGAAAAACAGGTTCCAGTGGAAAGGAGGGTGTAGCTTTTCCCCAAGAAAAGCAACCACGGCAAACAACAACAGGGATGTCGATTGCATGTCAAACTCCATCATCTTGCCCAATGTTTCTGTATGTCATGCCCACTGGGAAACTGTGTTGGCTCCACAAAGGCGGCCAGTCACCTCGAACAAAGCCCCGAGTGATAACAAATAATTGGATGCCTTATTCTCTTATCACGAGTTTAACGTGAGAGTAGGGATTGATGAGGGTGACCTTGAACTCGGCCAAGGAGGTTGAAAGATTCTTCTTCCTGTCACACAGGCTGGTCATCAGACTGTCATCCAGCATTAGTGCTAGGCCAGATCGGCCACGGTTGGCGAAGAAGATGCCTCTGGAAGTCTCCTATACTCTGGGACCAACAGCGATGGTCGCCTGAGGTATACCGGTGCTAACAGCTGGCAAATCGGTAGAAAAGTGAGTTCACGATGTTCATCAGTAGCAGTAGTTGTTATCAGGAACAGGGTTCAGTAGAAGGGTGGTGATGGTGATCCTTAGGCTACCGCGTCCCCCATACCTGACAACATTAGCACCGCCCGCATTAGTGGTTATTGCCCTAGGATGCCCACGGCCTCTAACCAGGGTGCTGCAAACATGACGTGCAATTACGAGCAACATCAGCAGGTAAATTCGCTGTTGCGAAAGCAGACATAGAGCATTGCGACAACAACGAACGACGGTCCCCCCTCACGGTGAGGTCATCGTTACTGAGCATAGACAAGGCAACATCCAAACTGAGTTCTACTTGATATCTCCAGAAACCATTGTGGGGCGATGCTTGACCAGGCAGGTTCTATTGAAAATGGCCTGCCAGTGACAAATTCTACCGCTACACACTACCCTCTACAGTCCGCCTGCACTGAAACATCCACGTTGTGATGGGCACCTTCAAGTAACTCTACAGCATCGTGAGGGGACTTAGCAAGAAGGTGGGGGACCACGGCCTCTGTTTCTACCCTGCTCCGGAAACTATGATCTCGACAGAAACTTGGCTATCCCCGGTTACAGCACAGGCGGTATGTGACCGTTCAGGGGAGAAGGAGAACATCAAGTGGGAGGCTGAGTGGCGGCGTTTGTAAGTAACCAACTCAGATGTGAGCGAGCCACGTAAGCAGTACCATGAGGTCTTTCATACTCCGCCTGGCACTACTTCACTGGCGGACAATGAGTATCCGGAGAGGGGCTCCGTAGAACCTCTACTAGCAATGTGGAACAGAATCGACAACTGTTTCGGGTGATATCCACAGTGAAGCCTATAGAGTACGACCGGGTCATCACAGTTTGGCCCGTTTAATGCCCCGACTCTCGACCTCAAGATGGACGTTCGACCGGAACCTACTTAGCGCCATCAAAAAGGCTGGGGTCCATGGGGATATTGGCGATGAGACACGCCGGAGACTGTTGGTAAAGCGTTCACACTAGGCCGTCTCATTAATGACCATCTGTTAGTGGAAGATGTTCAGGTTCAAACCCCTCTCGGCAGTGGTGATCATGGCGTGGCCGTGTTTCACCCGATAATCAGTGAAAAACTATCAACGGAGGGATTTCACCATTGTCTTCGCCACAGAAACACAAACTACGAAGCAATGGACGAATACCTGCTGACAGAATCATCCTCCAAACCTGGAGTATCTCATCAACTGGTCTATAATGGAAACTGGTGAGGAACATCATTGAGAGTGTTATCTCTGAAAACCTCAGATTGGTCACAGGAAAAAGAAAAAGCGAATCCCATTAGTGAGATGGGGCGTAGAACACTCCTTGAAAGCTGGGGGCAAACCGTCGAACAAACGGAGGATCTCCTGAAAGAGTCGGACCACAGAACATTTTTGGTTCAAAAAGGAATCGGTGCTGGGGCGAAATGAGGGGGGGAGGAGTTCTTTCCGGAAAAGCCTTGCCAAAAGCCCACGGCAAACCTTAACAACCCATTTTGTTCCGTGACCAAGAGATCTACTGGCCAGAGAGCTTGCTATATGAAAGGCCGGGATAGAGAGGACCTCTTTGGACTGGAGGCTGCCGAAGCCTTCAGTGCCGTCCTCAATACAAAAATCCACTATCCAACCAAATTTGCCGACCGCCTTGGCAACCTTCAGCTTTACTGGACGTAGAATAGTCGCGCAGAATAAACGTCGATCTTGTCATAGTCCTGGAGAAGCTATCGAAGCTCGGCGCAAGAAAGTCAACGAGATGCGATGACATTGGGCCACCTGTGTTGAAAGGTGTTTGGATGCGCTCCACATTTGCTCTGTAATCTGCTTCCAAGAGGGCGAAAACTCGCCGTTCTTTCCTCGATCTGAAAATGGGGAGGCATGTAATAGCTGGAATGGAATCGACCCATGGCACTTCTAGTAGTGCTGGTGATGGTAATGGATAACCTGGTGAACGATGAATTTGGGGATCACATGAACGCACGTGGGCAGTAAATGGTATTCAATTAAGTTCTGCAGTGGACCCAAAGAATGTCAAGTAAACCAAAATGACAAACTACATATAGTTTACAAGAAAGATGGATTTTACGATACACGCGTGTGAAAAGTCATACGTTATAGCACAAAATAGTATTGTCAATGTCATAGATAATCACGGGTTACTTGAATGTTATTTCTTCGGTGTCGTCCACCACAATTTAGGGATGCTCCAGAGATCAGAAGGCGATATTTGTCATCTCTCCGCCGTGGTCGTCGGTCGGCTTAATTGTCGTCATATTTGGAATTAGAATGAGAAGTCCTGTAAATTCCCAAGACAATCAGTTATTATGCACGACAGGCAATAGTCACGGAGGCAGAAGTCGGAATGGTTAGAAGCGCATTATATTTCCACAATTAGCAGCAGCAAAAGATGCAATTCCCGCCACAACCAAAAAAGTGTATATATAAACAGCATTTGTTTTTGCAAGTATTAGGAATAATGTACAGAATGTGTAAAAGAAACGATGTAAAGGAAATATTGCTTATAGTTGAAGTGGTTTATACACAATTGCATGCGGTCTCCACAGTTCTCACAGTGTAGGTTTTTCGTCGCAAACCTTCTGGCAAGCCGTGACAAATGAAGGGTATGCCGCGACCTCCAAGAGCCTGTTCATATGATTTTCGTGGATTTCACCGGGGCCTTCAACACAGTCACGCGCGCCGGTTTCACGCACAAGATGAAAAAGTCGGTTATCAATGCTCATTTGCTCTCCTGGCTGTAAGATTGTCTCGATGCGGAGGAAGTCTTCGCAACGGTCAGCAGAGTTTGCTTGGCTTGGGGAACACCATCATCTGGTGTATCAACAGGAGTTATCCTGGATGTGCTGCCATTCCTTTATCTTGGTGATGACCTCTCAGTGAGTCTCAGCTTCTCGATTTCACTCTATGCTGACAATGCTGAGTTGTGGGTAGTTGTGACATCCGAAACAGATTCAAGCACAGTACAAAGTGATCTAATATTGGCTGTAGGGTAAATAAAAGTGGACCAGCATTTTACGCGCATAAATGTGAAACCATGTCTCTCCACCCTTTCAACCCTCAGAAAGTGTCTTACCGTCTCCATGGAGCGCAACATTCCCGCACCACCATGGAGGGAGACGCGGAGATTAGTAATGAAAAATAAGCTAGGCGCCATCTCTTACTACCCAGTTGATCCCTACAGAACATACGCAGTAAGGCACTTCATGCGCAGATAACTGGGCGATATCACTCTCAAACTCTCCCTGAAGCTCCACAATACATACGTTTGACCCCACCTAGAGGTCGGTAACGTCGTTGCACCATCATTCCTGAAAAGAGACGTAAACCTATGGGAGAAAGTCCAGAGGCGAACATAAAAGGCTACGGTGGTATTGCGGCGAACGCCTCACGAGGACAGAGTGGAGGACCTGAGGCTTTTCTCCTTTAGTTACCGTAGGTTGCTTGGCGACTTGATAATGGCTTGTAAATGCCAATTAATCTAAGTCACCGAAACAGTGGGATCCTACCGAATGGCCACTGTGAAATCACCTCAGCAACCCCGGGATATTCGCCCATCAAAGGACGAAAATGCGTATGCGTTCACACTTTTTCTGTCCGTGAGTTCGGGAGCGCTGGGGCGCATTGCTTGCTGAGATGGCCACTGCTGCGTCTGATGACAACTTCAAGAAGAGATTGAAGAGGTAAGCAGCAAGGCACAGGTTGCGCTTGTGCAGCTGGGATACGGAGTAAGTCGATAAAACCTGCTAACTCTGCACAGCCCAGCACAGTAAACCTCATACTGAGTCCCTTTTATCACTACTATCATCGAGAACTCGACCTGGTCATATATCTCTTCGTTACGCGTCTTAACTTTATTAACTACACCCCCACCAATAACATCATCATTTCTGTATCCATGATCCATCCTATAACCTTATTGATCGCTTCTCTTTCTAATGACTGTATGATCTCACCCTGTTTATGACACTTCTCTTTACCACTGTCTCGTTCGTGAATCCACCAAGGACCTTTCGTTACACTTACTTTCACTTTGTTTTTTCTTACTTTCCGATTTTTCCGCCCGACATCACTTCACTCTTCTATCTTCCTTTTATAATCAGTTCAAACGACTTTCTGGTTACACAACACTTGAGAAATACATCACAGTCCTTGGACAAATAGTACAATGCCCCAAAAAGCAGACCGAAATAACCACAGCTACAGCACCTGAGTGGTTAGATGTGCCGCAGCGAAATTCACCATAGACTTGAAACCGAACTTCGAAACCTGGAAGAGCATTTAAGGAAATGCATTGGCTTACATTGTCTGGTGAATGGATGCTAGACATTTGGTATGTGTTGGACGCTTGGACATTCTGAAGGTCGTTCAGTTTTCTTGATAAGTGAAAAGGCGGTAATATGAGGGTGGACTGGAACCCCAAAAACATGTAATAAATACAGTAGCTTATACATTTGAGGATGGTCTTGTCTATTCCTAAGTCCTACCAGATTTGAATACTGTTGATTTTTCTTCTCTTCAATTGGTCTGATATTCACACTTTGGTTCGCCTGCTTTCTCCGGAAATTTCGTAGTGAAACGATCGGTTGTGAAACATTTCAGGGGTTTACGGTTTTCATGAAGTTTTTGTCAATCTTATCCCACACTCCCAGTCAAAACCTACTGCGGAAGTAAGGAGGGTGAATGGCATTACCATTACTAGCGAGGCGTAAGTACTGAGAGTTGTGTCCCAAAATTTACCTGAACTGCTAAAATAATGCGGATAGTGCTAAAGTTAGGCGGGGATTGTGCGTGAATAAACCTATATTCACTCATGCGCGCTTAAACTATTCCGCTAGGGCGTAAATTATGCAGGTAGTCCCTGAAAATCCGCTTAAGTGTCGCACTTCAGCATTGCTAATCAATGCATTGACCCGCATTATTCCGCATTAGCACACATTATTTCAGCATTTGTATTCGACTGGGCTATCATACTTTGAAACAGAGTGTATGGTAGGAAAGCATCAATCGAATTATCTTACCATGATTGAGACCATAAGATAACATATATCAGATAGTCATAGTAAGTTTTATGTGTGGGGACAAATGATAAGACGTATTTTCTCAGTTGTGAGAAAAGATCCTGTTTGAAGAGAGGATAGCGTTTGCTAGAAACAGATAACTGAGATGGTAAGTCAGGTAGTTTGAAAAGTCACTTATTTATCAGTTCGGAATTGCATCAAAGAGGTTCGCAAGTATGTGTTTTGTGTCATAATGCTGCCAATTGACCGAGATCGCGTGACACTTTTTTCTTGCTGGAGATTCTTCCTGTCAGAAGTGTGTGAAAGGTGCTGCTACAAATGTATAACTCTGTCGAAAGCCTTGTGTTTTTCCTTGTCTTGAATAAGCTCGACACGTTTTCGTTCAGTATCACGTCACATCAATTGTAGTGTGTCATTGTAGGACTCATTCAGACTTCATCAAGTGACGTACACTTGTTGCGATCACATCTGTGAATTGTGTATCCAACTTAAGGTGCTTTAGGGATTTACCTCAAACACAAAACGATATTCAATGCACCTACTGTTTGAACGACAGAGTTCAGTCTGACTAATATGATCATCAGAACTCATGAACATCCAACCGAATAGTTAAGAGGTCAACTAACAGCGGTCAGAATGCATGGTTCACATTTCAAATGGAGATTGCTTTATCTAATTCGGTAACAGGTTGACGTGTTCAAACATTGTGAAGGAATGAACCATAAATGATGGTGTCACAGTTTGTCAAGATGACCACAAATAAGATACTTTGCCAATCCTGTGCATTACCTTTGTAGGAGTCCGACAACTGAAGCACAAAACTGTACAAAGGAGAAAACACCAAGTTACTTCAAAAACTCATTAAATTTTATTTGTTAGTTGGTTCTAGCGTAATAGTTTTCAAGCCTGAACAGCATCAGCTATCCTTATTTCTTTCTCACCGAAATCAAAGACGGTATAGAATCTCCCCATGAAAACATCACCAAGAATCCACTTACCATCTGGTAAATTGTCATCACCACTGAAGGGTGACAGGCAATTTGAAAACAACCATCCGGAGTCCTACAAATCATTAACAAAATATCAAAAAACTTCTAAGTGCAACTGCCTAAATAATACAACATTGTGGGTTACTCCCTAGACAATCTCAGATAAAGCTTGTAGATACCCACTCTAGTTTCTTGTCGACACTCAGAACTCTGTCCAACAAACTCTTATGAAAAATAATACTGATTGACTCTCACAAACCGTGGCGATAAACAATCACACCTAACCCAAACTGTGGATTTCGTTCAAAAACTGATAGGTGGAGGGGTAGAAAACGGGAGGAGAATTCTTGAATAAATCTTCTGGTAATGCGTGTGACCTCACTGTAGCCACAAGGGACACAGACTTTGAGTGCAACCTCTATAATGAGTGGGTATGTTATCGATGTGATGAGCATGCAGCAGACCAGCATAATGTCTCCATGACGCATTACCCGTGCGCTTGGTTATGCTACACCTGCCTACAATGTCGCATTGGACCACTTTTATCCAGGGACTCACTTATGGGGCCATGAAAAATCTATAGACAGTTGCCTAAGTACGAGTGTCCGACTAAATCACTACAATGGAAGAGACTTTAAAAATTCAAGTGACTGTTGACGCTTAACGGAAAGTTCTAGTCATGAGGAGTGCAAAAACGGTCTTACGATTGTGAACCAGAAGGGAAACTACATCAGCCTTTAAGTTTGAAGCCACACTAACGACGCCTTTTGCTGAAAATCGTTAGGAATGCGTACAATTGGAACAGAATGTGCAAGTTGACTGTGAAAACCAACCCGTATCTCAAGATAACAAATCTCAATTGTCTGTCAACTGTTTTATTTGACGTTCGTGCATGTAACGTTACCCACAGAGGCAAACTGTCCCGCCTATTCAAAGGCGGTCGTTCTCCTCCACTGAAGCCTCTGTCAATGTGGGTAACTATGGGATGGGCCAAGGAGGTCTGAAGATGCTTCTCGCTATCACACACGCTAGTCATCAATCGATCATCCAGCCTAAGGGCTAGACCATATCAACCATTTTCAGCGGAGGAAACATCCGGAGTAGAGACTTACACGCAAAGAGGAACAACCGTAGCCATCAATACTGTGCCAAGACTGAAAACTGGTACAGAAGAAGAAATGTATCGATGACATTTAACATTGGTGATGGTCATCGGCAAGGATGGTGTTGGAAGAAGTAGCAGTGGTGGTTATATGTAGGTTGAAACGCTCCTTGCATCTCAACAATAAAGTCACGTAGATTGATAGATGTCGACTTCAAATGCATGGAGCTCCTAATGGGAGTGCAGAAGACATGGCACACAGTTGAGGATACCGCTGTTGTGAAAGGAAACCTAGAATATTGCGACGAAGGTAGACAACAGTTTTTCTTCTTGTTTGGGCAGTTACTACTTTACACAGATTCAGTGAGATCCTGACTGACGAACTCAACCTAACAGTGACTACAGAAAACACTGTGGATGAAAACCGGCTGGGACGATTTCGTTGGAGCTAGTGAGAGTGTAGCGACTCCCATGACCCTTTAATTCCAGCTAGCACTAAAACACCCCATTTTATGAGAAGCACCTTCAGTTGTCTGTACAGTGATGTGGTGAGCCGTAAAGGTAGGATGGTGGAACTCAAAGCTTGCTCGGTAGGTTGTGGTTCTGACACAAACTTGGTTACAATCGGATATTAGTGACATCGGAGCGAACATATACTGCATGCTTCCGTTCAGGAGAGAGGGAACTCATGGAGGGATTTGGGGTGGCACTGTTTGTGAGTGAACACTTCAAAGGTGAAGACTTGTGTACTAACGTATTATCACAGGGGGTGGTTTTCACGCCCTAACTCCCAACCTACGTCAGAATAGCGCAACTTCGAAGTGAATGTTCGGATGAAACCTACACAATGTCGTTAGAAGAACTGGACTGTGTGAAGAGATCGGCGATGGTGCTGGCTGGGGGTCAGGCAGGGAGCCATCATAACTGAGTTGTACTCTAACTGGCGACTAGCGGCTAGTAGGAAATATTCAGGTTCAAACTCTCCTCGGCAAAAGTGATCATGGCATGGTAGTGTTTCATCTGGTAATTAGTAAACAACCATCATGGGAAGGATTTCTCCTGCATCTTCGTTGTGGCAAGAGAAACTAGTTTGCGGCGAACCAAGTTCCACTGACAGCCCCATAACCCTAGGAATGGAGTTCCTTATCGTCTGACTATCACTGAGTCCCACTGAAGTACAACATTAAGGAGGTGAGTTCCCTGAATGTCCTCGCAATGGCAACAACACCCAAGAAGCTGATCTCATGGTTAAAACAAGCTACTGAGCGCTTACTGAAATGCAAGATCTCTGGACATAAGTCAAATCTTGATGCATGTATCTCTTTGAAGGATACATGTGACCTCAAGGTACAGCTAATCGTTTCAGATAAACCTTGCTCGGAGGCTTGAGGTGGATCCCAAGAACCCATATGGATTCATGGCAGAGAGACAATCTACTTGTCAGAAAGAACCTTTATGAAAGGCCCTAGTACATCTTCGGATTGGAGATGGCCCAAACATTTAGAGCCTCCCTTGATACACATTTGAACATCCCATCATCCAACCAAACAATCCAACGTCCTGAACAATCTTCAAAAATTGGCGGTGTAGGAAAGTTATACATGTCACGAGTTACTCTGCTGCAGTTCTCGCTAAACCGTTTAAACTCCACATAAGAAAATCCCTAGGATACGGCGGCATTCCTCGATGTGCTAGCACCCTGTGTTGCCCACTCTGCGACCAGCTTCATCAACACTCTTTAGATAAATACAAGCTCTCATATGAGTGGAAGCCCACGTTATCCTTCTTATCTTCAAAGAAAGGGAGACAGATAGAACCTAGAGTCACACCAACCCATAGCACCTCTACCAGTGTTGCTTAAAGCAATGAGAAACCTTATAGACAACCACACCATGTAATATTTAGAAAAAAGGAAGCATTAAGCGGTGCTGTACATGGCCTCCTATAAGCTAAGTTCTGTGGCCTGAATCTTCCGGAATTCTGTGACAGTTGGATGGCATGCAGGGTCCTCCAGGCCTAAGTTCATATGATTTTACTCGATTTCGATAAGACCTTCGACACGGTATCACACACTATTCTTACCTGCAACATAATAAAGTTGGGTTTCAACGATCACATACTATTTTTAGTTAAGGACTATTTGGACGGCAGGGAGTTCTGCACAGCAATCATCAGGTTTCGCTCACCTCAGAGCTGCATCACCTGATGAATCATAGGCAGCAATTCAGGGTTCGCCGCCGTTCCTACCTTTTGTAGCTCACCTTCCATCGAGTCTTAGCTCCCCAACTTCACCTTACTCTGACGGCGTTAAGTAATGGAGGGCTGTGACATCCGACAAAATCCTGGTGACCTGCAAAATGACCTCAGAGTGGGTAATAACGGACAGGCTGTTAACATGGATAAGTCCCGAAACATGTCTTCCGTGCACCACCACTGGTGCAAAGTATCCTACTCTCTGTGGTACACATCTTTCTCCAATCACCATGGAGAAAGACCTCTGATTAATGCTGACGAAGTAGATACTGCTTCAAGCGATACACGAGACGCTCCCAGAGACTTCGCGGTGCTACACTTCATGCATAGTAAACTAGGTGCTCTCATCCCAAACCTTCTTCTGTAGCTTTTCAATTCTGATGCACAAACCTATCTGCACCGCATTCTCAGGATAAACCATACACTTCCCCACAAAGAACACTCAACCACTGAAAGGGTTTACCAGAGCTGGAGAAGGCGAGTGGGTAAATCTAATATACTGAAACCCATCAGAGACCTGAAACAGTTCTACAAGACCTAGAAAAGCACGAATAAAATCATTTAGCTTGAGCAAACCTGGAAAACATACATTGGATATTAGGGTGAATATTATAATATTTTTGGCTCTTACAAATCTAAAGGAGTAATTGGCGCCCCAAGAACTTGGCATGATAACTGTTAATTCAGCGAAGTAAACAATTAGGCCAACAGGTATGTATACACAAGAAACTTAAAAGGCGTGGCGTTGACATTGACGGTGTAGAGCATATCATGGGATCTTTAAACTGGACTGTAGTATCCCGACTATACAAATTAGCTCGGATGTTTCCAGGAGTAGTTGTCTTACAGTTTCATATGTGCATTCAAGCATAAAAAACAGTTTTGTGCCCTATAGTGAAAGACGAAAATACTCCTTTCGATACAGTCTCACGTTCACTGAGATGAAGACTGATGAATGTTCCGAAATTGTATGAGAACCACTGTATGCCTTAGCAGTTATGGCTTACGTTATCACAGGTACATTATATGAATCGACCAACCAGATGTCAAATGAACAAGTCTATTTCTGCAGGCAAATTAAAAATGCACCATTCCTGTACGGACGGACCTTTGTTATTTCCGGATGTCGTCATCTTGGTCTCTTCGGTGGGTCGAATAAAAACGAGAGTGAATGAAGTTCAGCCGATGATGTATGGCATCTGAAAAATGCATGATCAGAAAATTTCAAAATATATACAGGATTGCAGTTGTATTCTCTAACCAGCGCTTATATCTGGTAGGTCTGAGGATTCAAATACATCCTTTCCCATGCAAAATATTGTGTTTATCTTCGCCTTAAGTACGCTCGACACATTTGCCTTCAGTATCACGTCACATCAATTGTAGTGTGTCATTGTAGGACTCATTCAGACTTCATCAAGTGACGTACACTTGTTGCGATCACATCTGTGAATTGTGTATCCAGCTTAAGGTGCTCTAGGGATATACCTCAAACACAAAACGATATTCAATGCACCTACTGTTTGAACGACAGAGTTCAGTCTGACTAATATGATAATCAGAACTCATGGACATCCCACCGAATGGTGAAGAGTTCGTTAACCAAGAAGAAATCAAATCCTGTGTTAGTGTAACAGTGCAGCAAACATTTATTGAGGAATCAAACGCCTCCATTTCCTCTGAAGCTTGTGGCGACTATATAACTGGAAGCCCAGTCGCCAACAACATTAAAAAGGCTTACTATCATTCCAATGTTCTATCATCATTGAACCGGCATAATATTGGAACCAAGATAAAACTGATGGATCAGTGTCACATGAAGTTATTGCGACTCACTCACTTGATATTTCACCTCAGATTAAATTCATACAGTGACAACACCTCATAATGAAACGAGTTAGTCTTACGGATAATTCCAAGCTGTCGTCTTAGTCGGAAAATAATCATTCCTTTTCCTAAGACTACCAGTGAGATCTAAAATGTTGGTCAACATACTATCTATCAAGGCTAGTTCAAAACTAAGCTGTCTAGCATATTATGGAAATTCACTGCACTTTACTCCAGCAGACAAGTCTCTCCGTCATGTATCCCATACCACATCTGAACTAGTTCAAGCGACACAAGTAGTGGTGATAGGTCAAACATCACTCAATCCATTGATGATCACGGCCACATTGCATTGCAATCAATGCAAGATACGCATGCATAATATCTAATGCAATACTTACCTTAACTACATAGTCCTTCGCCTCAAACACATATTTCCTCTTCCTGAGGACAAACTCGATAGGAGGCAGCTTTTCCAGAGCATCACAATTAAGCAGGTAGTCTCCATCATGACTGAGTGTTGCGCCAAGTAGGGAATTGATTCTGTCAGCCACTTTCTGAGAACCCAGGAGCAAAGATGTTCCGGTATCTATGACAGCCACACATGTCTCATTGCAAAATTCCATGCCATTAATTTTCATACTAAATATGTGAAAAACATTTGAAACCAGTAACTGAAATTCGTTTCACTTGTAGTCACAGTTATTCATCACAATGTGCATTGATATGCATTTGATAAGAAACTGTGTGGTGTGGTATTTTTTTTAAAATGCGCTCTTCTCTTCATATATTACAACACGTGAAATCACTTTGGTCTAAGGTATTCTGGGTTGTTATATGAGGTGTGTGTATCCAGTGTGTATGTTTACATTTAAGATGCTGGTTTTTGTGTTAAGATCTATGTTTATATTTGTGAAGTTCAGTATTTTTCGGTTGTGGAATTATTACAAATTTTAGGGTTAATCGCAGGTTAATCACCATTCGTCCAAGCAATTCATTTATAAGCTTTTTGCCAACCACTTTTAGTATTTGGAAATTATTATTATTGTCATCTTTATGCCGGGTGGAAACTTCCGTTTATTTGTTCAGCATTGCCAGTAGAGTAAAAGAATTCATGTCATGTGGTGAAAAGATTGACGTATGCGTGTCAATCATAGCACCCGAATACCACACACGTGAATAATTCAGTCTTATATAAGAGAGGATCGAATGCAGGAACTAGCCATTATAAAGCAGTCATTTGGCAATATGAGTTACGTGTAACACACTTCAGATCTCTAGATACCTTTCCGTTGCAAAGACGTCACTTTGAATACATTCTATCTATGACTACAAGTATTATACTCTCCGCTTAGTTTAAGTAAACTTTGGTAGTAAAGGCAAGATGATCTGCTCTGCGCTTGCTCTGTAAATCAAAATACATACAGGAGGGTATTAATCACCTACCTTCTCATCTTCACAGCCCATTGATTTTCATAAATAACAGATAGGTTTTCAAAATCTCCTTCGATATATTCAGGATTAACACCACCCAGAACCAACTCTCCACCAACAGGAGCGCCATTTCGTCTATGAAACAGAAATTAGCAGTATTATGTTCTATTGTAATCAATCAAATGTGATAAGATAGTGTTCCTTCTGTTTCCAGGGGTACAAATGATACTTTGAAAGGTTAAGTTGTAGCGTAATTTCACTCGTAGCATTAGAATATTTCAAGGGTGTGAAGAAATCAAGCAAATCCTACTCAATTCTGTTTCGAAAACGCTGGAATTATACGTCGGTGTTTTATTCCACTGAAATAGTTGAAACACGAACCTATGAAGTCTGAAATTGTGAAATTCACTGGAGTGAATGGCATCATAAAGACTAGACTTTCTAGTTTAGAGTTTACAGACCTCCACGAATTTCGAAGCAACATTACTCAGGTTGACCAATCTCCACTTATCCTTTCCATTCTTCTCACGCAATACTGCTGGTGCAGATAAAAGAAAATGAATGGAAATTATATCTACCTCGCCACTCAAGTAACAGATCCTACTGTCGTACGTGACTGCTGGGTTCGTTGTCGATGTCATGTAACTGTATATATACCTTTATTCATATATTATGTGTACCAGTGTTATTTTCTTAGTAAGTGATTTTACCTCTTTGTATCGAAGATAGATCAGAATAATTTACAACAACTTCCCGAGTTCCCTATTTGTTGTCTTCTATTTTCTTTTTTACTGTCGCACGCATTGTTAGCATCTGTTGCTCATGATCTTTCGAGGTAGAAAACGTGTACTGTCCAGGTCAAGCTTACTTGTATCGGCTAATGCAGCTACGCTCATGTTATAATTTGCCAGGAGTATTTCGCTGTGGTGCACAAAGACTCGCAAAACATATCCATCACGAACATACTGTTCGGATGAGAGACAGAATGTTGTTGCGATGAACTATAATGCTTCAACTAGTCATATGGATTTGCTGGATGGGGAAAAATGTGAAGTATGCAGAAGACATAACGAAATAACAGTAGTGTTCTCATATGCAAAAACGATAAATATCGAAGTCCGAGAATTTACATATAACTATAAATTACTATAATTATTAACTATAATTTAGATATAACTATAACTATACAACTTCGAGATTGAAACCCAAATGGAGAAACTGCTTTGCTGAAATATGAGTTCAGTGACTCCGAAAGTATGTTCAGTTTATATAAATAAATACACCGTGAGTTTTTGAAATGTTACGAATTAAAATAGTCAGGAAGTGTTTGAACCATAATTTGATCTTCTGACAATAAGCAAGTCACTAAGATATTATTTAATTTGAGTAATAATGGTTAGTTGATAAGTAATATCATTGTGTGTCAATATATTCAATACAAATACACTTATGACAAGTTGATTCTGTTCAAAATGCACAGAAATATTTTCATGTGTATAAGTAAAGTTACTAAGATGCTAACTGAAAAGAATGACCATATTTTTAGTGTAGCAATCTTGAACAACTCTTCTAGTTTTCATTGAATGGATAGAACAGCTAACGTTTTCTTACTTTCCAAATTTTAAACTCCGGTAAAATTGCTTGCACTAAGGGTTGTCACGCAGTAGAAAAGCTGACTTGGTACACTTATTTCTGCATTAATATGACGTCTTAATTGTGGACAAAAGAATTAAATGTTATCAGTAGAACCAAGAGTATCAACACATGAACAGTTTCATTCCATCATTCCAATTTCGAAATATATATAAACATGTTCCATATGCGTAGTTTATTATGTTTATTTGTCCCTTGGGTTCCTAGTGGAACATAGGGCTTCAGTAGCACGTCTTCATTCCACTCTGTTCACTGCAGTCTTTTTCACCTGACCCACGACTGCCCACAAGCTCTCATTTCTTCCTCACATCATCTCCTCCGTGTCACCCTTAGCTCGGACACCCAAATCGTCGTTTCCAATTCGAATTCCACTCGAGGGCCTGGCATGGCCTGGTCTGTCACGTGATGTCCCCAATCAACCTTCTCAGTGTATGCCCAATCCAGTCCATCTCCACTTTCTGTTTCTGCATATGTGTTGGACGATGGATTCTTGGTTGGTCCGTTGTCAATCAGCCAGAGTTCCTTGTTGCTTATTCTTATTATTCTGGCCATCTATCTGATCTTCAGTATTGAGTGAGAGTAGGCGTAGATGGCAGCTGTTGATGAATGTCTGTAGTTTGTTGGAAGTGTTTTTCGTGACACGCCAAGTCTGTGAATCATAGAGGAGCACTGACTTGATATTGGTATTGAAAATGTGGATGCTGTTCACGCCTTATGCTGAGTACAGTAGAGTGCACCAGATCTCCACACTGCTTTCAAGTCAATGAATGAAGGCCTGTCTTGCTTTTCCGATCCTGGTTTCGACATCCTCATCTGTGCCGCCTGTAGTTGAAACGATGCTGCCTAGGTAGTTGGGTATGTGAAAGAGACCACTTCCTCTAGATTTCTCCCGTAGATAGTGATTGGTGTTTGTTGTTGTTGGCTGGATGTCTACATCACCTGTCTTCTCTACGTTCATCTGAAAGAAGTCCAATCTTCCTTCGCTGACTCGCCTCTTCTTCCAATTTGTTATTTTTCGCCTGTACATCTTCGAGTTTGTGCGACAATGCATTAGACATAAGTCATCATCAGCGGCGAAATCCAAATCTTCCCGGCGCTTTACATCGGTCAAACAGCCAGCATATGCCACTCTTCTCACGAGTGTCCTCATAGTTTTCTGTTGCATGATCCACTCCACTCCACTTCACTCCAGTCAAACACAATCAGGAAGATCATGGGTGATAGTAGGTAACCTCGTCTTACTCGTTCCTGTCTTCACTTCAATGGCGTTACCCAGCTTTCCATTGTGCATCACTTGGCATGTAGTATCATATAGCATATAGCTGTTGAATGAGGTTGACAAAGGATTGTGGCACTGAAGCCGTAGTGTTGAAGCAGCTGCAAAAGTAACTTCTCGGTCAGTGTTGTCGAAGGCCTTTTCAAAGTTGATGAAGTTGAGGTTGAGGTTGAGGTTGAGTTGAGTTGACTGTCATTCAATGCTCTGTTCTATGATGATGCGTAGCGTAGCGTTGCAATTTGATTCGCACATGACTTGTTCTTCCTGAAACCAGTCAGCCAGTCAGCCAACTGTTCCGGTCATAATCCAGTGTAATCCGGAGCACCGTTCAGTCTCTTCATAATGATGCGGCATGATATTTTGCTTGCTCTGGGTGTACAGGGACAGGAGAATGATTCCTCACCAGTTCCCACAAACACTTAGGTCTCTTTTCTTTTTGAGTTTCCACATGCTTATAGTGATGGAAATAGATGGAGTATTGTGATGAAGAGATGTGACATGTTAACCAACAGATACCTGATACATAGGTCAAAAGTGTCCTTTGAGTTGATTTGGCTGAGGATAATTTTGTGGTGTTTCATTAATACAACCAATGAAAAAGTTGTATTACACAATCACTCTAACATAGAGCATTTGGGCATTATATTAGCATGCTTATAGCTTTCATTAGTCAGATGGAGTTGGAACTGCTGTCAAAAAATGAAAGCCAATATCCCAGTTTGTTGACTTGTGATGCATTGATTAGACACCTGGTTGACAAAATATCAGCGTTCTAACTTATACAGAAATATTGTGAAGGCATTTGTATTTCGTTATGTGAGGAACATACTCACTGAGTTCTTTTTCAGTTGCCACACCTCATGTCAGTACATCAAGTAAAAAGGCAGTCGGGTGCAAGATGAAGGCAAGGAAATTCAGGCACTTAAAATATAAAGTACGAGAAGTAGGAACGGAAGAATAACAAAATGGTGTGATTAGGTATAGCGTTGTTAAGATGACGATAATATGTGTGGGGATAGATCTGCACTACTGACATCGGTTCTCAGCGATTCCACCTGGAGACCCCAACCTCTGGTTCCTCTTGTCCCGCGGACCTCAACCACCTAGTCTACATCACCCCACATGGCTTAAACTAACAGCCAGAGACTTCATGCATTGGTGCCATGTTCTAATCTGGCCACCTCGGGCCTTTTACCAACCAACCTGGACTTACTTCGGCCAACATTGTATGACTAGGCAGTTGGTGACTAGGCATACGTATCACGTGTCCCAACCATATCAGTCGATGAAGGTTCACAACCTCGTCAACCAACTTAACACTTCTCCCTAAAACTCTACTCCTGACTTCTGCGTTACTCACGTGGTGACACCATGGAGTACGGTCTATACTACGGAGGCAACGGTGGTCAAACACTTGAAACTCCTAATGTCTTCCACCTTCATTGACCATGGTTCACAGCCATACAGTGGAACAGAGCGGACTGCAGTGCAGTACTCGCAACCCTTAATAGACAACCGAATATCTCGGCGGCCTCACAGGTGGCGTAAGTTGGCGAAAGCCGATCGAGTCTTTTGTATTTGTGCAGAGATTTCATCGGCCACTGAGCCACTAGAGAGGGGCTGATCCTACTTCCCAGGTAAGTGAAGTGGTCAATACAATCAACCACTTCACTCTCTATTGTTAGACGAGAGACCGTTGAAGACCAATCCTGGAGCAACAATTTACATTTGGGTGGTGAGAAATGCATCCCAAACATTCTTAAATTCCCACTCAAAGCATTCAGAAGACCCTGCATCTTGTCAGAGTCTTCACATAACAGAACTATGTCGTCTGCATATTTTATGTCTAAGGAAAATTCTCCTGCGATCAGGTCAACGTCTGTGTAATCAGGTGACGAGAGGGAAACCTCCACAAGAATATCTATGATAAAATTGAATAAGAATGGAGAGAGTGGGCACCCTTGACAGACACCACTCGATGAGCACAGCTCCCCGGATATCTCACCATAGGCTCTAACATGCCCATAAGTGTCGGAGTAGAGAGCTTTCAATAAGGTGATATACTCTACTAGGCACGCCTTTCAGTGAGAGACATTGCCATAAGATTTCTCGATCAAGAGAGTCAAATGCCGTCGCCTTCAGGTCGAGAAATACAGCTATTGTCAGGCGTCTGTAAGCGTGCCTATGTTCCAGGACCTGGCGCAGTGAGAATACTTGGTCGATACATCCGCGGTCAGGTCTAAAGCCGGCTTGGTGTTCTCCGGCTTGTTGTTCCCGAGCTCCACTCAGGCGTTGAAGAATTATAGAACCTAGAATCTTAGACACTATGTTCGACAGTCTCAAATAATTTGTTACTAATATTCCTGAGATCCAAAACTATGGAATCTGATTGATTACAGTATGAATATATCTTTCTTACTGGTGGATAAGCAACATGGAACTTAAGTAAGAATTAGAAATTAAAAAAAGACTAATCTCATGAGGTGCAGGTACAAAACTGTGGAAACATGCTAACTTTCACTAGAGTTTGAAAAAACTTCACAACAGAAAAAAGTAATCAGACTGTCAGTCTTAAGGTTTCCTTTTCTTATTAAACTTAAATTTACTCAAACGACATATGAATAAATGATAGAAATTTATGTTGCACTGTAGTCATTAGGATATGAAATATGTCTAATAATCCACCTTACGTATTTTCATTCAACAGTTTGCATAACACACAGATGATAAGAAACAGGTATCACACAAATAGGCGCCTATGTTCAGTGATTTCCCATATTCACCAACTGGTTGCATATAACTTTGGTGAAATCTTTATCAAACAAAACATTAAAATATTACCTTGTTTAGTCAAGCAAGATTACTTGAATTGCTTTGACCCACCAGAAACTATTAAATAGAGCAATTTGAAATCCTAATATGACAAAGTTATTTGTTATACAGAAAGAAAACAATTTCCAGTTGGAACACCTATTTACTCAAATATAATTGCTAATCTGTTATTATTTGAACTACTTTCCCTCTGCCATTATTTGATTGGATTTAAGCCAGAATCATTAGGTTGAATTGTGTGTGATACCAAAATGAGATTTTGAGCTGATTGTGTTGGATTATAATTCAATATCGTTTTATTAGAATCTGTGAATTTAGTGTTGTATACATTCATTTAATTCTCTAAGTATAATAGTTAATTTGAGCAGTATTTTAGTTTCTTTCTTTGGTTTGTCATATGAATCACTTAGTAGATAACACTAGTTCATTCCACAACAGTGCACAAGTTTTACTCTGATACTGTTTTGTTATGTCATAAATATGATAAACAGACTGAAATGGAATCCATTCTCCAAGACCTTAGAGATAAGATTACAAAATCTGATTTTAGGACAAAAGGACAGCCTCACTTCTAATGCAAACTCACCGACTTAAGTAGAACGAAAACACTGGATCCATCTCAGCTGTTGTTGCAATTATATTTGGAAAAAAAGGAATATTTCCATATCTTGACACACTTCTACATGACATCCCGATTATTCCGTCGTATTTTTGGCTGATGAAATCAGTGTTGAATATGCTTGTTACTTCACCAAATGCTTGGTTTCTAATAACTAGGGAGTTTATCTATATCAAAAGCACTGATTTGAAATATTATAAGATAATACCTGGATTGTATCCATGCTCCAAAATCCCGAGAAGCTACCCATCAAATAGTTCACTTCAAATCTGGTACCATTCGGTTGATACGTGGATGATTTTGAGTTGTCATAAAATCGAAAAAACCAACATGGAACATCAAGAAACCAACATTTCCTTGAAGGGAACCATGCATCAGTTGAGCCCGTATCGAATTGGACAGTAAACTTTTCAGGTGGAGTCCCAACAAACACCTCACCGTAGTACTGAAACTGAAGAGTGACGTTTTTATGAGCATTGATATTAGACGCTTCGTATCTCGTAAACCGATATTATTTGCATATTTTTACATGTTAAATGTCACAGCAACTGTTTTCCCAGAGAAAGCGTCAATGTAAACCATGTTGCAGTTCTGTAGTCTGATAACAGCCATTTACTATTTCATCAATCTCTAGTCTGATTTTACCTGATCATTGCAATATATTTCGACATGCAGAAAAATACCAAATGGAAACAATTTAAATACTGTTTGCACTGCTACTACAAGCTGGGAATTTCGACCAACAACAATAGTTTAAAACTCCCTACTGTCGAGTAATGTACTTACAGGCTTCGATAGATATATCGTTAAGATGAACACACAATTTATCTCAAGAAAACACCTGTTAATAGTATCTAACCCTAAAATGGATTTTCTGTTTAATCGTTTGTTACATATAACAGTCAAAATGAAATGAATGTTCAAAGCTTAACTAACGATGTTATACCTACATTTTCAAAATTGTCCAAATACTCGGACGTCGGTGTGTATTCGTCTGTCCAAACATTCATCCATTTTCTATGTAGCCATTTGTATAATGCGTTGTAGTGACCCAGCATCGACTTAACTCTGGTCGTCGGATAGAGTGGAATTTTGATGACCTCAGCATTTAAATGATGTAGAAAGATTAGAAGTATCATTGAACGCATTATACTAACTCTCATACTGGCAGTCAGTAATTCTGACAACTTTATTTTCAATTTGTTTTCAAACTGTTGCAAACTGTTGTATTTGTACCCACTTAATGAATCTTCGGTAGAGAAATAAAAGTGTTGATTGGCTACAATCGAAACTCTGTTTTTTGTAAAGTTTCTATTTAGTATTGCCTAAAACATGTGATTCATAGGGTGGCTTTCATGAATGAAGAGAATCTGTATTCTGTGTTACATTATTCATTAATGTGAGCCTTCAGTTAAAGGAGGCATAAACACATTTCCGATTTCTAGAAATTCATTGGATAACATTTCCTGTGGTTTATTTAACATGGAAAGTTACAGTGAGCAGTTTTAGGTCCCTCAACTCTTGTGTAACGGGTATCAGTTATTATTATAGGACCGAACGCACGTCCTAGATTCTACTGATAACCACGAATTAAATTACAACCATAATACAACTTCTTGGCGGAAAACACAGAGGAAACAAAACTTGAACATAATAATACTACTATGAGAAATAAGTCTCGACAGTCTGTGAGGAGCACAAAACAGTGCGTGCTAAATCGATCATACAAGAAGTAAAGGCAAGAATAGGATATCCTGTCTTCCTAGTATTTTTCTTAAAAATACGAAGCTTTCTTGGTCTAATAAACTTTAAATGTCATTTTAAACCTTGTATCGCAAGGTTAGCTCAACCTGCAAGGCATTTTTTTGAAGAGGGAGCTGAAGTATTTCACGTGACCTAGACTGTTGTTGATGTGTTTGACAAAGTGTAGCATGATGTCTGTTCGAAAGCCCTAACTGATAACTCTTTATGTCACTGAAGTCTATTTCACAGGTCAAAGTTGACTCACAGTGTGTCAAATGCAATAAATATGAAATACTAAATTCCCTGTCCTGCATTTTAATGAAAGCTTCATAAAGTGATTATACTGACCTCGTTAATATGGCGAATTCGCATGCTTGTAAGGAGTTGGAAGATCATCAGAGTACTTCATTTCGCACTCACAGTGTTACGCTTTACAAACATGCAGCAGTCACCTATGATACAAGTAATGATAGACCTTATTTCTCTACATCACATGACAGATCTAAAGTGAAAAGACACTGCTTCACCTGCCAGCAGATATATGTTATTTTATAGTAAATCTGACTGCATGCATGAAGTTGTCGATGCATTACTTCCACCCAGAGGCATTGCTAGCATTCTAAAATGTGTAGACCAGTTGAGAAGGTGGCAGACGACAACACCCTCACCAGAATATCTGGTAAATATGATCTGGAATTGGATTATAAAAGTTGGCTTGCGAAAAGTATGACTAGCGTGGACAGAAATGTACAGCTGAAAGTTCTTTCTTTTCAGTAAGTGGAATATTCCGATGGTGGCATAAGGCAAGAATTTGAGCAAATATATATTTTCGTAAGTCTCATCAAACTGTACTTTTAAATGCCATTTTTCAAGCCTAGAAACAAAAATGTAGAGTGGGTGTATGAACTCTTGATAGTTGTTTGTAATTTAAGGTAATTATGAGATTAAAATTGTGTGACAGTTTATTTCGCAAGCTCAGATGGGAGACAACCCTTTTCGTCTATAGCTGAACATATAGATCGGGTCACAAAATCAATGTTCAAATAGCTTTCAGAGTTTTGTATAGAGGTGGTCAGAGACGTCCACTGAGATTTCGGGAAGCGATAAGCATGCGCAAGTTAAAACCGTCTTTGTGTGTACAAAGCAGTTTGTTTGTACACTGCACCTACTGTGATAAAATGCTTTTTCTTACCATGATTAGGATCATTTATGTCACTCTACCATTTTGTTCTCATCTTAATTTTAATCTCTCATTATCTCAACTGTTCCATATGTTTTCCAGTTCTTCGGTTTTATATAAATCGACTTGACAAGTAAATGTGTAATCAGGTTGTTCGAAGTGTACTGCGCAAATATCGCCTTATTGAAAAGAACTTCATCTTTTATTTACACTATTCAAATTCATAAAAGAACTAACTGTTTCAAACTATTTCACAGGATTTCGGACAATTAATGTATAAATTATTAGCATAAAAATCGTACTAATAAAAACCAAAGTGAAAAGAATAAACGTTGAATCCGATCGACAGGAACGAGTTAACTGTGTCATTGTTTATCTGAATTGCGTAAATTCCATCTGTACAAGTAGCCACGGAAGAAAAGTGGAGAGTTCGATTTTTTTGTCTAAAGAGTTCAGGTTCTATGATTTTCATTGCAATAGCTTTATTAGTTTAGATCCGTGTTATGATACTTGTAATTTCCCGTTGTTATACAGGGCAGAATTGCTCGACCACTGTTGAGATATGGGCTTCTATGCCTCGATGCTGCTGGATATTCATGATGTTATAATGATGTGAGTGACTAGCAGAAGAACCCAGAACTCGCGTTTAGTCCTACTTAGGACTCTCCAGCTGTATGTGCCTACACCACAGTGAGTGATGCTGTCTCCACTGGAACTCGAACCTCTTACCCGTATCTCCGAACGCCGGAGCACTATCTACTAGGCCACTAGGGTAGGATAGCAATTCAACCGTGTACAGCAACAGTAAGTTACAAGTATCATAACAACAATAAATAGTAATATCATAACTACGAGTGATAGCTTTTTCACAAGAGGTGGCTATCGTGCCCCAGTGGCTTAGTGGATAACGCTCTGGCGTTTAAAGCTGTTGTTAGTGGGTTAGATTCTGACTGAGAACAGCATCACTAACTGTTGTGCAGGTACATACACCTGGCGAGTCGTAAATCAGACACGACACAAGTCCTGGATTCAACTACTAGTCACCAAGACCAACATAAGGCGAATTCTCGCTGCTTATGGCATTTGAACTGGTATCTTGTGGGCTACTGAGAAAGTGGACTTAATGTCAACATTATGACCAGCGTCAATTAGATGGGACTAGACAGAACATGTGATCTTCTTTATCTCTCGTTTCCCTAGCCATACTGGTGGTTGATCTTTTGTGCTTTGTGAAAGGATCCTCACAGTTTGTCCTAAAGAGTTGACTACATAGGAGTAGTTGAATTTCAGCTACTAACAGAAGTAATTTGAGTTGGAAACACAAGAACTACTACTTGTTATCCTTTTTGTGACGGTGTATTTGAAACATTACATAGACTTTTAAGGACAATGCTGATGACAACAAAGAATAATAAAGAGTAGAGTAAAAAACAAAACAGTTTACCTGGGAGTATGTTTGAATACCAAGCAGCGTTGGGCGCCCAACTAGTCGTTTCCCGTCCGAGTTTTACTCGATGGCCTGGCATGATGCTTGATGTCCCCAATCGACCTTCATAGTGTACGCCCAATCCAGTCCATCTCCACTTTCTGTTTCTGCATATGTGTTGGACGATGGATTCTTGGTTGGTTGGTTGTCAGTCAGCCAGAGTTCCTTGTTGCTTGTTCTTTATGACCATCTGAGTTTCAGTAACTAGCGTAGTCTTAAGTGATAAAAAATTACTCAGAGTCATACGATTTGTGAATCATTGGAGAAAAATATGAATGCAGCTCTTGTCCGTAAATGAAATATGCATAATCAGCATATGCCATTGTATCTCATGGGTCAGAAATCACTAGTATATATTTAGTAATAACTGAAGAAAAATGCAAAAGTCTCATTATAATTATGTGTTATGACATCATGTCAAGAATTTGAACTGTTTAACAAATGCGTATATGACTGACATGTCTATTTTACAAAATGGGTTTCCACCTTATGTATACAACTAAGAGGGGGTTCAGTCAGTTGGTAGACTAACAAACAAGTAGCTTCAAACTAAGTTTCTTGAGTGAACTAATTTCATAAGCAAATAAGTTAATGTATCTGAGAATCCTGTATACATTTCGAAAACACTAGAGCTAATGCTTCTATCATTAAAGCGTTGTTTTTCAAATGTGCTACGCAACGAACAATCAACCTCTTAACTTTATTGACCATCATTAAAAATGACTAGGTTTACTCATGAGTATGATTTACTTCAATTTCTTCTTGATTGTTGTCGGATTTGTTAGTCAGATTTATGCAGTAAGTACACTAAACCCATAAAGTACTCATGACATCAAAATGTTCAGTCATTTGTCACGAGTCTCAATCCACACATAGCTGTAAACTGGATGTCATTATGAAAAGCTACTACCAGAAGGTGGTGGACGGGCTTGTCCATTGCATTGACTTAACAGTTTATGCTGGCCAGAAGGATCTACTTGTAGGTTTCACAACGCTATAAAGATCTGTTAGATAATGGTGAGGATAACTTACATTAAAGTGAGAGTGAAAGGGTGAAGTCCTGCTGCTGACTTTTAGTGATGCAACAGTGGAAAGGAGCTTCCCAAGCTTTCAAATTCCTGCCACCTCCCAATCTGGAAAAAAGGCTTTAGTAGGGTTGGCTTCTGAAATAACACGCTACTGTCTACTTTACAGATTTTCAATGCTGGTATGATGAGTTTACTTGAAGTTAGTACATAACTGTACTTAGTCCGAATCCGAATCTCATGAAAGACCGTGTGACTAACTTGGGGCAAATGCCTATCGAATTCTACAGTAACGCATCCAGATCTACAAGCCCCCTTACTTTTAAACATTCCTTACATTTACTTTGAAAAGAAGTAACATTGTACAGCATGAGAAGTAGAGAAGTGTCAGGTACTCAATTCTCTTCCGATTCCAAACATCAAAAAATTCCCGTAACATTAATAAAAAGCAACAATCTGAATGAAGAATATTCTTTTCAACAAATTGTCACCAATTCGACGATTATAAAATACATTTGTTGAGTTTTAAGCCAAGCCATCAGCCTTTTAGTTAGTTATCCTTTAAATTTGTTTACATTTCTCTTTTAGTAATTTCACGATGACGATGATACAGATTTTATAAAATACCATTCCTAGTCCTATGAAATATGTATACATTTCCACTGATATTGCCACTTCGGTCAGTAGGCAACACTGATCAAAACTCTAGCGTTTATCACGACGAAAGCA